TGGTCTAAAACAAGAAAGGAAAAGGCTTTGTGGTGAGGGTGCCAACCCCTCCTTTCGCACTTCTTTTGGACGCCAGACGAAGCAGACCGGGTTTCGAAAGTGCAAAACGGCCGGGTCGGAAGAGGCAGAGGCCGGACAACAAACAACAGTGGGTGTGTTCCTAAAGGGTTTTCATTGTTCGGCTTGTTGTGTCTGGTGTCGCAAGCGCCGCGTCACGTGTTATTGTTTAGCCACGTAGGCGCAAAAAAAAAAAAAAAAAAAAAAAAACCGGCAAAAATCACCGCCTTTCTATGATTTATGGTCGGACGGATGAAAGCGTTTTCCGATTATTACGGCAAAGGTAGAAAAGATTGCAAACCCTCTTGAAAACTGAAGGACGTCGTTTTATTTTCGACCAATGTTGTAACACCTTTGAATTTAAAAAAAATTAAGACATCATTCAATAAATTGAGCCAATCTTGTTTTTCGTTGCTAGGTTTACCAGTTTTCAAATGGTAGACCCTAGAAAGTGACGGCATATATGATCATCCATTGAAAAAAAAAAAAGAAAACAGAAAATATAAAGAGATTTGTATTTTCGTCCATTCCGGTTATTAAGAGGAAAAAGTTGGCACCCTCTCCACAAAGCCTTTTCCTATCTTGTGTTAGTCCAAAAAAAATTCAAACTTTACACATTTGTCCTTAGTAGATAAAAATCAAAATAATACATTGCATTGCTTGACAATTGCATTTTTGGAATTTTAATTCCTGTCGATTATAAAACCAAAATAATAGCCGAACACAGAACTAAAAACCGTTGAACAAACAATCAACAGTAGCATTCGTGGAAGAATGTTTCGAGATTTCTCTTATACTGATAATTGCTTATTTATTCTTTGAACAAGTTTGTTACTAACCTTGCTTCACCCTGCATGCACCCGGCTACCCATTGAACATCGTTAATTGCATAAATACGTCTGACAGTTTAAAGTAGTCATCACCCCTCAGAACACGAGGATAAATCCAGAAATATAAATATGAATGATTATTTATATTCCTCGGTATGAAAGTATCACCAATTGTATGGTAATCACATTTATGCTTCAATTCATTCAACTATTATTGTGTAAGATGTCTTTTTGAAATCATGAAGCTGAAAAGCCAGTAGTTTTACTGTTTTCGAGTATCCTGTTCCGCATATCATCGCTGCTTTTGGTCTATCAGACTAGATTTTTTTTAAATTCTTTACAAGAACAGGCGAACCACGATTTTCTTAACCAAACATAGGTTCATCATAAATCTATTCGTACTAAAATCCTGACATCACCGGGATTTATTTTCACGAGAAAATGGATAAACTTTCAAGAAAATAAGTTCAAATGGCACCCTTGTTCGCTCAAAATTGAATTTAACAAAACTGTATGTTCATCAAATTAAAAATTATGATAAAATACAAACATATACAAATGCTAGAGAAAGTACTCAATAAATTTCTATGCTAAGCAGCTTTTAAAATTAGACTTGCAAGACAAGCATATATCTATTGTGTTTTATGATTAATTGAATGATTGATTTACTTTAAAAAAATTATTTTTGGGAAAATTAAAATAGATACAACATGCAGACATGGGGGGAAGAGCAGGAAGTAAAAATCCATGATGGAGATTTTATTTTGGCGCCCAAAAAATCACTGTAGCCAATATACTTGAAATTGGAAGGAAACCCTGTACCCGTCCGAAATGTATGGGATTAGCTAAGCTTTAACAAATTAGATAAATTTGGTGTTGCCCTGAGGCACCGTTGAACAAGAAAGGGTAAACTAATTTTTTTTCCCACTATATTGTTTATATTGGGTCGTTCTTGCGAAAAATTCGGAGACACATTTTTTGCACAATTTTCTTTGAACCAAAAAGTTGTGATCCAACTCTCCAGGATGACGTGTATGCATAGGAACTTAACTATGCCAATAGCAAGTTTCTCATCAAAGTACGTTTTTTGAATTTGGAACAACCTATCTTGAGTTATTCACTAAAACCTGTTTCCCACGCTGTTTTTCGGATAAACAAGATTTTTTCCAGCTTCTACAACCAATCACCAACTTATTTATTTTTCATTTTAATTGATATTAAATTTCTTGTTCGTGGTACAAAAAGAAATGTTTCGGAACAATTTCTTCAAATAACATGAATTAATAGATGTTGCTCATTAAAGCGCAGTTCAGTCTGGTGCAAATTGATTCATGATTTTGATCAAAACATTTTGCCCCACGATAAACTCGGCTAAGAAACTAGAAAAAGACTTTTATTTTAATGGACTTGTGTATTTTTATAATATTTATTCAAATCCAGAGCTTTCTGCCTACTCCGGCAGGAATCATATTTCGAGCATTAACTTTAAAAGGTTTTTTTAAAACGAAAATTAGTTTTAAATAAATTTTATATCAAATCTCACTTCAATTTTGCAATAGTGAAAGTAAACGAGATTTGCTTTGACCATAACTTTTAATTAAAAGAATATATGCATAAAATGAATTTTACAGTGTCCTTAGAAGAAGAAAAGCCCTTTTTCAAGCAATAAAAATATATCTCTATTATAAAAAAGGAAAAATAGTTGTCTTGACGAACTCTGCATTTTCTAATAAAAGTGAACTGACAGACTTGAACAAACCTAAAGGAAAAATTATGTTTTTAATTATAATTTTGATTACTTAAGAAACGTGTAGTATAATATAACTGTAACTACCATGTATATGTAACACAGAATCATTAATAAAATCACTAACTTATATTTTCTTTGATATTATCTGACCTCCCGTTCAATTAAAGTTAATCCGGGGTTAAAATGATTTTTGAAAGTGGACAAATTCAGGCTTTCTTAACCCCAAATTCTACCTGACCATCGTTAAGCTATGAGAGTGGTAAAAGAAATAGACACAAATTAGTTCATACTGTTCTTCTATTATTGAATAGTTTTGTGTATTAAACGTGTTTTTTTTTTCATTTCTCCTGCATGCATTAATTTACAAAGTCGCCCCACTCAGTCCTTTGAACGGCGACAAACCTGTTTGGCCTCAATGACTCAATAGACAAATAGTCGGGTAAATTAATTTCTTCCATTAGCATGGGAGACTTGTTTTTATCCTTTCGATGCATCATTCTTCCATCGTTTTTTATGTAAGCCGGAGGGTGGTAATCTGGGAATTTCTCATGACGACGGGGGTGGCTCGTTACACCACGGCGGTCAACACTCCGGCAATTATTTACGGCAATCTAAGCCGAATTTCACGCGGCTAGTTGCCATAATAAACCAGCTTTGTTCATATTTCTTACTAACAAGATTATTAGTTTCGGTTAGTTTCAAACATTCGCAAAAAATACACCTTTCTTGGAACATTATGGGAGAAGAAATGCAGAATAAGGCAAAATACGTAGAGTGCAACATTTTGGAGAAAAAAAGCATATTTCTCCGGTACACAGAAAATTGCTGCAGTGTGTGCCACTTATTTGAACTCTGCCATTCGTCGGCTCCTTATAACGAGCGAGTAGGAATCTGTTCCGATTTTTAGATAAAACAGGCACATTTTGTGGCAAATAATATGGGATTTAATGTATTTATTTGCATGAAGGCGTAGTGCATGAGTCAGATGAAAATTGATACCACATCGATTCTCACTTTGGTGTTCTTGTTCATTGTTCTGAGTTGCTTATAAAGAAGAGATTGTTTTGATCAATGCGGGGTCTGTTTTCTTCCCCAGTTTGGTTTGTGGTAAACAGATGACAGGGACAGTGTCTGTAGAACGCTTTGCTCATGTGCTCATGTTCCTGAACTGGGTGGAATCAATGATAATCATACAGATGGACCTTTGACTGCACGAAGGTTGAGGAAGTACATCAGGGTGCTGTGGTACGCCCCATTTATTGGGTACAATTTGTTGTTAATGCATAACTCGACCGCGTGTTGCTCGAGTTGTCACCCATTACTTGGTTACTTGGAGTATATATGGATTAACAAAATGAATTGGCCATCACGTTCTTCTGACATGAATCTCATAGAACACTCATGGTACATGATAGGGAGATAGTTTGGCCACCTCTAGCAACCGTTCAACGGGTTCAAACTACTCTTGTTGAAGAATGAGATTATGCTTCACAAGACGATCCCTTGTTTACTCGATGCTTAGAAGACTTATGGTCCTACGCGAGTCCAGAAGAGGTAATACAAGTTATTAAGAGCAAAACAAGGTAATAAATTCTTACTTCATATATCACTAAATGATTTTCCGGTGCTTTTGGTGATTTTTCTCAAATCTCGAGCTCCAATCTCGAAATGCCCTTTTTGTTTTTATTTTCTCGCAACGCCCTATCGACAGGGGCCCAGGTAGATCATGGGAGCGATCGGAATGCGCCTTGACAATTTTTGTGCATTTAAATTGGTGAATTGGGATTTTTTTCTTTTCCTGTGGAATGTTTGGTCTTGACAGCTCTTTTTTTTTTATCAAACACCGGCTCACCGAGGGTTCATACGTCTAACATTCTAGATAGCAAACGGCTATTTTAAACCATCATAATTTTTATTAAAACTCATGAATTTTTAATAGCATATTTATTTATTTTTCTTTCAGTGTATAGTTGATTGATCCGATTAGCTAGGAATCGTTTTAAATCTTGGCCTTTATGAGTTAGATGGCGTAATGAGTTAGATAAAGCAAGTGCAAACTAGGCAAGAGAAGAAAAAACAAATGACGACAAAGCGAATCAATCGCCTCAGGCCGGAGAAGAACAGGCGTTGATAAAAAGTGAGATGTGGGGTCCGCCATCCCTCGCTGATTGACCCAATTTTTCCCCCGGTCCCCCTCCACCCGAAACAATGCTAGTGTTGTTAAAGGCTTTAATCTTCAGCTGTGGATAATTAGTGCGTGAGGGTGTGGGGCGGCGGGCGGTGGGGCCTGCGAGGGGGGCGGACGGGGGCAGCGCTCCCACCTCCGTCCTAGGTAGTGGGGATCCGCCGTCCTCCCCCTACCAGCTCGCCACGACCACTTTCTGGAGCGGCAGTGTTCAACCCGCAACCAGCAAGAGCTGCTCACTCGCTTTTCGCTTGCTTCAATCCGCGAACCTCCCGTGTGTGCTCCAATACCGAGATTACCAAAGAGATAGCAAAGTGTTTTATTTTTTATAAGCATCCTCCTATGATAGAAAGTACGCCTCCGGCTCTCGTCATTTCGAAAATCAACCCGAGGACTCGCCTCTGAAACTCTCAAGAGTTGTCTTTCGGAACGTTTCCCTTTTCTATATCTAATACTGATTTTGTATTCGATCCATTAAAACAGTGTGATATTCAGTGGTGTGTTCACTTTCGTCGGACAATCACATATTGTAAGATTATTGTTCTCTTCGTGGGTTTTTCACCTTCTCCGAGCACCTTTGTAAATGTAAGTAGTGTATTGTTTGGCTTCTTGCTTCTTTTTTTCTCTCTTTCTCTTACCGTTTTATTCTGTAAGTAAAACTCACTTTTCGGCCTTCCCTCACAAAATTTCTGTCAGGAAAAGAGCCGTGTCTTATCACGGACGGACCCACTCCTTACATAACAGCCGGGTTAACTATAAAATAAAACCAATAACACAAACAAAAAAAACAAAAAATGAAATAAAACATTTACTCCAGTATTCCATAGTTTGAATTGAAACCGAACAAGGATATACGCTGACACAATTAAGGACAGGAAAATTACGCAACGGTTTGAATAATTCATAGTCTTTTTCCCATAAAATCCGGCCGTTTTCCGTATTCTTTTCGTGCGTTTGTTAATTTTATTTTTGTATATTTATTTCTTTTTTTTGGGCAATTTGAGAATGAAACGCCGATAAGCGACATCACACGTCCGACGCGATAATGGTCGCGGTTGCGTCGCCCGTTCGCGTTTTATCGCGTCGCCGGACGCGATGTCGCCGTTTCGCTGAGCCAGGCCGTTGTAAACAGCCGGCGCCGGTTTTTGCAGACGCGCAGATTTCTTCACCTATTTACAATTACTACTGTTCGAGAAGTCTTTTCTAACACAATCGGCAAAATTATGACAAAAAAATCCCTCGTTCTTAAATGAGATCCGAAATGGGTTGGATCTGCAAATAGAAAACCACACAACCTACTAAATTATTCCAATTCGATCTAATTAAATTTTCAAATCTTATTGAATCTATCAACCTCCCCATTACTATTGACGAATTATTTTTAAATAATAATATTAAAAAAATTGCTTTTTCCCTTGAAAATAAAATTCTATTAGGGATGAGGTTTTTAAACAGTTTACAACTTAAAAAATACTGAAATCAGTTTTAATATTCAGTTATAATTTTTCGTTAAAAATTAAAAATCGTTTAATTTTATTTCAACAATTGTCTTCAATTTTGGGTTAAAATATTGTGTTAGAATATTGTCATGGATTTTTTTCTTTAAACGGTTATGCTACCGTATTATTACTATACAGTATTATGTTTCTCCTGTCTCATTTTTCTCTCTACTTTTATTTATTTGTTTATGACCTCGGTTTATTATACTTGTATGTAATATTTGAAAATTTAATTTAATATTTTTCCCTCTCTCGATCTGTACACTTTTGGTTTTGTTTCCTTGCTGTTATCTCCGGTTTGTCGTTCCGGCTCGTATTGAGGCCATTTACTTTTACTGTTCTTTCTTCTACGGCATCGGAATAAGGCGATGACAGCAAAAAAACTAAAAACGGTTTAAATATTTATTCAATATTCACCATGCTTTATTATTTTTCCCTAGCCGTAAAATTGTACCTAATACAAAATAAAATTTTGTCAAAAAATCTTATTAATATAAATTACTACTTGGAGATCATGAGATGCGGCCTGTTGTGACGTAAGTTTTAGAAAAACATTTTCTTTATCGTGCCAACGTTTCGATCTTTATTAAGATCATCTTCAGGGCCTGGGATTTATAAACATTGTTTAAATTTTACAAATACATGTAGGATGTGGAAACAATAAATTTATACAATGCTAGAAAATTTTAGATTAAAAAAATGAATTTATACAATGCTAGAAAATTTAAAAAAAAAAAAAAAAATTTATACAATGCTAGAAAATTTTAGATTAAAAAAAATTATAGCATTGTATAAATTCATTTTTTTACTCTAAAATTTTCTAGCATTGTATAAATTCATTTCTTTCCACATCCTACATGTATTTGTAAAATTTAAGTAATGTTTATAAATCCCAGCCCCTGAAGATGATCTCAATAAAGATCGAAACGTTCGCGCGATAAAGAAAATATTTTTCTAAAACCTACGTCACACCAAACCGCATCTCACCATCTACAAATAATCATTAACTAACGGTCACTAAACACCACATATAAATTACTACATTGTCAAAATTATAATCTATTGTGTAGAACAAAATATACAAATAAATAAATAGTGACATTCGTTGTATAACAACGAAGGCTTTAACGTAAAGCAATTAATGCAGATGGGATGACGTGGTACGTCCCGAGTCGTTAGAACAACCGTTTAATAAGTTAACATCAAAATAATAAATCGAATTAAGCACAGATGGATGGCTTTTAACTGTCAAATGATGATTAAAATAAAAACTGACTATATTGTCCATTTATGCTAACTTTCTCTTTAGTTTCTAAATTGTTCTGACAAATCTTTCGGGTAATTTTTAATAGTTATTATTGCTGTAGGAAAAAATACTATGTAGGTTTCTAACCGGGTTTTATCGTAAATTATAATCATATTTTTGTATTTTTTCCTACGGACCCATTTAATTTTTCAACCCGGGTAGAGGAAAATTTGTTCCTCATAAAATGACTGAACGCAGATCGTTTTTAAGCCGTTTTTATGTAAAAATGTCATTATTTTAATATGAGTATTTTTTTTAAAAATCACACTTATAAAATTATCCAATTGAGCAAATTCGTATTGTGTACATCCTGGTTAGTAATTTTGATATAATCGCCTATAAAAATTCTAACAAATAGAGGGGATATTCATAGAGGAAAGCTTTAATATGTTTGTATGTGTTACTTTTATCAGACGTTTTTATCAATTGTGATAACATTATTAAACTACAAAAAGTTCTAAACTTGATAAATACACACAAAAAAAGACCATATGCTTTGTTAAATTTATGTTATAAATTTAATTTTTTTCCCATGATGTTAAAGTTTTATAGACGTCAATCCGTTGGAAATCAAGTGTTATGTCAAAGTCTATATTTTCTTCTACACCCTTTGTAAATGTAGAATGTGGAAAAACACCAGAATGTTGCACCATACAATGTTATATTAGACGAAAACTCAAAGAAAGGAAACATAACAAATATAATCTTATGCTAACTTAAAGTCTAAATATTATAAAATATATAATAATAAATTTAAGTCTTAACAATTACTGTAATAGAAGAAATAACGTCAATTGTTATGAAAAGGTAATTTTACCAAAACTATTCTCGGTTTTAAGTAAGTTTTTAAACAATAATCATTAGTGATATCGTAATTAAATGACTTTGAAATCCCTTTCTTGGTACAATAAAATAAAATAAAAATGATAAAAATATCCGAGGAAAATAGGAATAGAAATTTCGGAAATTCATTTAGTTTTGTGGATAAAATTATGGGTTAGAATGTAAAATTAAACATTCTAAATCAACGTCTTTCTTGATTTTTTTCTGCCTGCCACTCGAATCAGTGTTAAAGGAAGGAAGTTTGATAGATAAAAAAATGTAGGGAAAATCCGCTAAAATGTTTCGTAAAACGTTATTTAGCGATGAATGTTTTTGCTGTTTTTAAGCAAATTTTAGTTTAGCTAGCTTGAACTAATTAACTATGTGCCGGCAAAATACCAATTTAAGGCCAAGAAACATTGGTCACACAATCAGCCGGATATTTGTGTCGTTTTCTCCTTTCCTTCTTGCATTTTATTTCTACCGATTAATTATTATTTATCATAATTTATACATTATATAATATATAATAATAAAGTGACATTATAATAAAAATAAAAGTTAATATGGAACGCGAATGGTATGTTCCTTAAAATTACGCAATGTTGAAGTTTTCTAATTTCTAATTTTTCCTTTAATTTTGTATTGAACAATATTTAAAGTTTTATTTTATGTTCGCTCTAAATTGCTACAAATTGCACTAACGTGGCGTTGAATAAATTCAACTTTTATTACAAATTCACTAATTTCGTGCTCCGCTTGACCAATTAATATATTACAATTAATTAAGGTTTTTAGTTGAGATAAAAAAGTCAATGGCACGAGCGGGATTCGAACCCACGATCTTCGGCTTCCTTTGAATTTTCCCTCCTTTTTGCCATTTTTCAAATGTCGTGTAATCGGATCTCGACGACAAATGAAATGGCCACGGAAAGCTTTAGTGAAGTACACTTCATTTTAAATCATTAAATTCACTAATTTCGTGGTCCGCTTGACCAATTAATATATTACAATTAATTAAGGTTTTTAGTTGAGATGAAAAATGGCAAAAAGGAGGGAAAATTCAAAAGGTGGGGTTGAGATGGGGAGTTGATGTCCGAGTGGATCGAGGTCACGATAGCTCAAGTGGTAGAGCAGTGGCCTATCTAGCCAAAGAACGTGGGTTCGAATCCTGCTCGTGCCATTGACTTTTTTATCTCAACTACAAACCTTAATTAATTGTAATTTTATTACAAAGGATACCTGCCGTGCGGTGGACAATAGAGGTATGAATCGGCATTGTTTGTCAGGAAAGGAATAAACAACTGAATTATCTCAAATATCTCGGATGTTATAAAATGAAATTGTTGTTGTTTTTTACTAAAACGAAATTTTCGAATCGTCGTTTTCCCAACGAACTCGCGTCACGTGTGTTGATTTGAAATTTTGCAAAATCCTTCCGTTTCTTTGGGAGAAAAAGAAGGGGGAGATAATCACTTTTCTTGACTCGCCGCCAATAAAATTTATGACGGGAATAGATGAGGGGCTGAGGAAAAAATAGACTTTTCTGTATTTCTCGTCCCCTCGGCCGCGTTTTCGGACAGCACAATTATTCAGCCTTTCCAAAAATAATTCCGGAATATTCGATACTTGACTCTTCTATTACACGAATATTCTTATACCCAGTATCTGTCAGTATTAACCAGATAGATAAATAAGTTTTTCATATTGAGTGTAAAAAGTCACAACTGAGTAAAAATTAGAGTTACATTTTTTATCTGTTAACTAAATAGTAACAAATTTAGACTGAATTAATAAATACAAATTGAGAGAATTATGAATGTAATTTTTAACAAAAATACAAAAATAAGTATTTTTTTATAATACATTCAAATCTTTTAGTATTTGTGACACAAGTAACTAACAGATATATATATTTTAAATTGGGATTTTTTTTTAACCAATCAAACTTTGTTTTG